ATAAAGGTTGCCTTTACTGTTACATCACAATATATATATATAAATATATATATATATATATATATATATATATAAATATATATATATATATATATTATATATAGTCATATATATATATATATATATATATATATGACTATATATAATATATATATATTATTTATTTCTCTATATAGTCTAGTAGATCCTCCGTGAGCGGTCACAACGTGGTTTATTTCGATGTTTCGGCCGAGATTCTGGCCGTCATCAGTCTGGCCCTAATGAAGGCCAGGCTCTGACCATGCCAGCCTGTATATATATATATATATATATATATATATATATATATATATATATATATATATATTTTATATATATATATATATATCTGTACTGTAGAATTTTATTCATGTAAATGTATGTCTTCCTGAAATAAAGTTTGATTTGATTTGATATGCATAGGTCTGCAGCAATGGTGTAGTGGTTAGAGCATCTGCCTCGCGTGCAAAAGGTCCGTAGTTGAAATCCCGGTGTGGCTCACTTCCGCGTGATAGAACTGCACTAAGAGGCCTGGGGGGCGACCTCACTGGTAACCACCGCCGTTAACGCACTCCCTCACCAGAGATGGATTGGCCACCCTGGTGCAGTATCTGGCCACTACCTCCCACTTGCATACGTCAAATAACTCACGGCCCTCAGTCCCCAGCAGCTGCGAAGCAACTGACTATTTCAGCGGTCAGAGAGGGTGCTAAAAATCTCTGGACTACAGGCCGCCATTGGAACCTGAACTTGGCAACGTTTAACACTAGAACCTTATCTAGTGAGGGAAGTCTAGCTGTACTATTCGAGGAGCTAAAGGGTTTTATGGGATATAATAGGGCTCATTGAGGTTAGGAGGATAGATGAGGCCTTTACGGTGCTACAGAATGGGCACGTCCTTTGCTATCGGAGCTTGGCAGATAGAAGAGAACTGAGAGTAGGGTTCCTAATTCACAGAAAGATAGCTGGCAACATAGGGAAATACTATAGCATTAATTAAAGGGTGGTAGGTATTGTAATCAAGCTGAATAAAAGATACAAGATGAAGGTAGTACAGGCTTACGCGCCTACATCCAGCCATGATGATGCTTCAGTTGAAAGCTTCTATGAAGACGTGAAATCGGCAATGAGTAAGGTAAAAACACAGTGTACTATAGTGATGGGCGACTTTAATGCAAAGGTAGGGAAGAAGCAGGCTGGAGACCAGGCAGTAGGAGATTATGGCATCGGCCTTAGAAGCGCCAGAGAAGAGCTACTAGTAGAATTCGCAGAACGCAATAATTTGCGGATTTTGAATACCTTCTACCGAAAACGAGAAAACCGCAAGTGGATATGGAAGAGTCCTAATGGCGAAAATAAGAACGAAATAGACTTTATAATGACTGCACACTCTGGAATCGTGCAGAATGTGGAAGTGGTTGGCAAGGTATGATGCAGTGACCATAGAATGGTACGGTATCAAATTCGCCTAGGCTTGAAAAGGGAACGACAGAAACTGATACGCAAGAAGCCAGTCAATGAGCTACCACTGAGAGGGAAAGTACAGGAATTTAGAGTGTCACTGCAGAACAGGTACTCGCCTCTTAGTGAGGAAACCAACCTTAGCGTAGATACAATGAATGATAATCTGACGAGTATCATTACGGAGTGTGCAGTGGAAGTTGGAGGCAGGGTAGTTAGACAGGACACTGGCAAGCTTTCCTAAGAAACGAAAAACCTAATTAAGAAGCGTCAAATAATGAAAGTGTCAAGTACAACAGACGAAATATAGCTGGCAGAGCTTTCGAAGTTTATTAATAGACGTAAAGTATGCGATGTAGAAAGGTATAACATGGAGAGAATTGAACACGCTCTGAAAAACGGAGTAAGCGTCAAAGCAGTGAAGAGCAAACTTGGGATAGGCAAAAGTGAGATGTATGCACTAAGGGACAAAGAAGGCAAAATAACTACCAATATGGATAGTATAGTTAAAATAGCGGAGGAATTTTACAGAGATCTGTACAATAGCCGAGACAACCACGACCTTAATACTATAAGAACTAGCAGTAACCCAGATTACACCCCACCAGTAATGATAGAAGAAGTCAGAAAAGCTTTGGAGAGCAAGCAAACAGGCAAAAGTAACATCAGATCTGCTGAAAGATGGAGGACAGATTGTGTTAGAAAAACCAGCCACCCTGTTTACGAGGTGTCTCCTGACGGGAAAAGTACCAGAGTCTTGGAAGAAAGCTAACATTATCTTAATACATAAGAAAGGAGATGACAAGGACTTGAAGAATTACAGGCCGATCAGCTTGCTCTCTGTAGTGTACAAGCTATTTACAAAGGTAATTGCTAACAGAGTAAAAAAAACATTAGAATTCAATCAACCAAAGGAACAAGCAGGATTTCGAACAGGCTACTCAACAATTGAACACATTCATACTATCAGTCAGCTAATAAAGAAATGCTCAGTGTATAATCAACCACTATACATAGCTTTCGTAGACTACGAGAAGGCGTTTGATTCAGTAGAAATATCAGCCGTCATGCAGACACTGCGGAATCAAGGCGTAGATGAAGTATATATAAACGTTCTGGAAGAAATCTACAGGGGATCAACTGCTACCCTAGTGCTTCATAAAGAAAGCAACAGAATACCAATCAAGAAGGGTGTAAGGCAGGGGAACACAATCTCCCCAATGCTATTTACCGCGTGCTTACAGGAGGTTTTCAGAAGCCTAGAATGGGAACAGTTAGGGATAAGAGTTAATGGAGAATATCTTAGTAACCTGCACTTCGCCGATGACATTGCATTGCTGAGTAACTCAGGGGACAAATTGCAACTCATGATTACGGAGTTACACAAGGAGAGCAAATAGGTGGGTCTTAAAATTAATCTGCAGAAAACGAAAGCAATGTACAACAATCTCAGAAAGGAGCAGCGCTTCGAGATAGGTAATAGTGCACTTGAAGTTGTAAAAGACTATGTATGCTTAGGGCAGGTAATAACGGAAGACCCTAACCACGAGATTGAAGTAACTAGAAGAATAAGATTGGGGTGGAGCATATTCGGCAAGCACTCTCAAATTATGACAGGCAGATTGCCATTATCCCTTAAGAGGAAGGTATATAACAGCTGTATCTTGCCGGTACTTAGCTATGGAGCAGAAACCTGGAGACTCACAAAAAGGGTTCAGCTTAAATTGAGGACGATGCAGCGAGCAATGGAAAGAAAAATGGTAGGTGTAACCTTAAGCGACAAGAAGAGAGCAGAGTGGATTAGGGGACAAACGGGGGTTTAGGATATCATAGTTGAAATCGAGAACAAGAAATGAACATGGGCCCCGGGCATGTAGCGCGTAGACAGGATAACCACTGGTCAATAAGGGTAACTAACTGGATTCCCAGAGAAGACAAGCGGGTTAGGAGGAGACCGAAGGTTAGGTGGGCAGATGAGATTAAGAAGTTTGCGGGTATAAATTGGCAGCAGCAAGCACAGGACCAGGTTAACTGGCGGAACATGGGTTCAGAGTACGCTAGGGCTCCTGAAATTTTCCGCAACGAACTCCACGTCGAGGTGAAAATACTATGCCGCAGATCAGATGCTGATCTTGAGACTAATTACCCAAAGTTTTATTTAACTATTTACTGACTGACTTGGAGCAGACGTTCATATACAAAGTTGTAGTTGGCCCAATTTATGACATGCCTCATTTTTAGATATCCCAAAAGAGACACATAGTCCGAGATATTCATGATCGATCTTGAGTGGTGAAATCGAAACTGATTGGTCCCAGCTTATGCCAAAAATGATAGAACATAGACCTCACACGTTGAATGGAAGGGGCGCAATTCCATTGAAGGTGTAATAAAGCAATACCTTGTAAGAAAAAATGACAAGCATCCCCAAATAGGTAGAAAGGCAGCCTGTTTTTTTATGAGTGCATACGTGACAGCATTTTATGAGTGCCTTGTGTGACAGCCATTTTATTGGTAGTATGTTTTGTAAAGAAACAACCTTTTTTAGCTTGCGCTCTGAGCCTCGCTTTTTCTATGAAGAAGGTCAACTTCATTAACAAGGTGTACTAGCTGCCTAACAATACTGTCCAAAAGCACGGAACTATCAAAGAAAATAACTTGTTTGTCAATAAAATATCCTTGATGAAAATGAAATAATTGCTGAAATTTATAATAAAGTTTGATTTTCGCTTTTTAATCAAGAAAATGATATGTGACGATTGGTATATGACGAAGAAACTGACAGCGCTATGCTGATAAATACGCACCGAGATATTTTCTACGATTATAATTTGATTTTCAATAAAAAGCGTAATTCAAGATGGCCAGCGAAAATGAGAAGTTGCAATTGAAGAATGTTGTGCGCATTGTTCAAGTCCCTCGCCTTCTTTGAGCTGGCCATCGCGAATTCTTTCGAACTCGCCCACTTTGCTGCTCCATCTTAACTCGTCCCTTGTACTTCGTAATGCAATTTCCAAATAATGCGTTTTACTTAACTATCAGGAAATGTGCGAGCTTGCGCGCTAAAATAGGTATTGGAAGTTTACCACTGCAACGCATAAGTGCAGTTCTATGACAGGACCTTACATAGGTTCCAACGAATATCACAATATTAGTGCACGAAGAAAATCATGTTGTCAAATTTTCTAAAGCCTGCGAATACGGTTTTCGTCATAATTTTGGTATGTAAAATCAAAATAATAATAATAATAATAATAATAATAATAATAATAATAATAATAATAATAATAATAATAATAATAATAATAATAATAATAATAATAATAATAATAATAATAATAATAATAATGTTACTATTATTATTATTATTATTATCATCATCATCAACACGAATGTGTAATGGAAACTAACATAGCCGGCTCTAGAAGTTTGCATAATTTCGTCCCAATTCAATTTGTATTTCGTGCACTTTGTGGCTTTGCGGTCAACGCGACTAGTTTAAACACAACTTGCCTACTTACTCTCTTGCAACGCCTAGCGCAGAGGGAGTCTTCCAGCGCTGAACTTCCAATACACAGGCCATGGTGTATGGCATCCGCTTCCGGTCTTCCCATGTTGGCCGGCGTTTGTGGCCGATCACCTCATCGATTTCCCGTTGCACCCTGGCTTGCACGGTATCCGGATGTTTCGCAAAGTTTATCATCTGCCACGTCATCGTCATGCTTGTGCTGAAGGTACCGGCCATGAGAAACGAGTTTATGTTTCCAACGAGGTAGCCGTCTGCATAAGAAGCGACCGGTGGCCGACTCATTTACCTGCAGATATACTGACAAAGGGTAGTAAACAGCGTTTTCGGCATGATTCTGGACGGCAGCAGTTAGCTTACGTGACGTCATGCACACAAAAGCTCTCGATTCGTTCGTATACTTAGGCTATCAAATATGATTTTTTTCCTGCCTTGATTTCCCATGCTGTCATGCAGCCGATATATTCCTTGTTTCATGTGTGTGTGTGTGTGTGTGTGTGTGTGTGTGTGTGTGTGTGTGTGTGTGGGTGTGTGTGTGTGTGTGTGTGTGTGTGTGTGTGTGTGTGTGTGCGTGTGTGAGTGTGTACGTGTGTGTGCGTGTGTGTGTGTCTGTGTGTCTGTGTGTGTGTGTCTGTGTGTCTGTGTGTGTGTTTTGAATAGAGCAAGCAGTGGTTACTTCAGCGCTTAATACAAAATGTGCACGTGTTTTCGGAAGAAGTAAGTTGCCGAAAGAAAATGGTGCCTGTACGGAGTGTAGCTCAGGCGATAAAGTAGTCACCATCTTTTTCTGCAACTGAGAGTTGTTCAGGGGGCCTTTGACATCACAGCTGGCGCGTTCAATGCCTTGTAAAAAATATTCCGTATATCAATTTTGTATTTCTGTATGGTCTCCTGAGGCCCCTCAATGGGAAATCTGTCAACTAACTTTGACATTGTAACACAATGCGCCACGACTTTTGAAGTTCTGTCCGCCTCTTAGAGAGCATTTTCTTGGCTGCTTGAAAAAATCGTGCTATCGTCTAGTGACTATGAACAAACTGAGTGTGTTTCCCGCCACTCAAGAGCACTCAAAAGGGAAGGATTAAGCACGAATCAATCGACAGCTGCAGCCTAAGAGGTAAGTGAATTTCAATACGTTCTTCTGCGTCTTAAAGCGCATTAAACATAGATTGTGTGCATAAGAGGCTAAATACCACAAAGTCAATTTTGAGCAAAAAATGTAGTTGTTGTTTTTCGCATGCGTCGCGATAAGACGATGTTTATTATGATGGACATGGGTGCTCGATGACAACAAAAACGCGAGGGAACGCTGGTGCGCTCTGTTAGCACTCTACAGACACTAATACGTTTTCCGCGTTCCTTCTCTCCTTAATAAATTGGAACATCACGTACTTTCTTCAGTAGGTAATAGGCCCCGAGTGAGTGATGCCATGGCTGAGAAATTATTACCTTTCAAAAAGGAAGAAAAGCAATACACCGTAGTTGGCCATCTCGTTAGCCAAAATTGATGAGCGCGAGCTGTTGGCCTCCGCACTGTGATTCTTGTGTCTGTCACTGCCACTCGTTTTCAGCGTTCATAGGCCTCCTCTTTTAACCGTATTTCTGGTCAGTGAACCCCGTTTAACCAATAATAATTCTATTCTACATTTCGAGCCGGCAATAAAGGTATAGTTTTGTTGCGATATGTCTTTTTTTTGATACTGGCCTCGAACACGCTAAGCCTCTGTTGCTCAAAAGGTTTATCTAAAGTCTCAATATTTAATATATGGGAGAACGAGCCACGGCCAAGCCACCCGATATACGGAAAAACTACGTGAGCCTTTTTGACTTTGCACATAGTAGAAGCAGTTCTGAAGTTTTAACAAAAATCCATGACCCTAAATTCGCTCATAAGTCTCCGGTGAATACACAAAATTTCGGCAAATGATCTGTGATGCAACAAACCACTAGGTGCAAGGTGCCCTTCACCGACGGTTCAATGTTGGCAACGCATCGGCACAACCCGGAAGCTACCAGTAGTGCATCAGCGTGAGTACAAAAGAAAGCATTTGACACCCGGCGAGACATTTGGAAGTGGGGACGGTTCGTAGGCACAGGACTACTTGAACGTATTTTCATACTGCAGGTTGGTACTTTTTCTTTTGTTTGTTATAGATACGCTTTAACGTCTGCTGTCGCGGCTGCCATCTTGTTGTGTGCTTTCGTACTTACCGAATTACTTTTGTGCACATCTGAATTTTTTTTGAAATGTCACCGAAAGATAGGGATGCGCGCTCTGACGTGCGTGAACTACGTGACGAGAATAAACAAAAGAAAGAGAGACTTAAATTCATGGAATAACAATTTGAAATAATAATACAACACTTAGGAGAAGGGCGCACTGAGAGAGAAAGCTTAAAGAAAGAAGACGAGAGGCTAAAGCTAAGTGCGCTGCAAATGAGTCAGTCATTATCGAACTGCGGAAGCAGATTGTTCAGTGTGAAGAATGCTCCCGCAGATAAAACGTTGAAATGAATACGTTAGTCAAGATGGAGAAAGAAAACATCACTGACCTTGTAGGCAAGATTGGCGACGTAGTAGGTGAACCGATTTCTGCTGGCGATACAGAGGCATGTCACCGCGTACCGACTCGTGAGCAGAGCTAAACAAACGTTGTTGTACAGTTCAAAACCAGACAGAAACTAGACCTTGTAGTAAAGAAAGCCCGCAAAATTTGCATTAGAAGTAGAAACGTAGGAATCTCGAGCGAAGAGCAAATTTTTGTGAATGAGCATGCCTGTCCGACAATAAAGTGGCTGCTTGCACAGGCACTCGCTAAGAAACGGGAGCATCACTTGTACTATGTGTGAACGAAAAGTGGAAGAATTCCCCTTCGCAAAACACAGTCGAGTACAATAGTGCGCTGTGAAACTGATTCCGACCTAGGCAAGATTTTCTTGGTTGTTTGTGGCCAAACTTTTTAATTTTCTTTGTGGACGCGATGGATATCAGGAATTTTGTCTGCCATCTGAACCTAAACTTCCCACGTATTCGCAAAGCATGTTCACTGCTATTCACCTTTGTGGCCAAACTTTTGTTATTTTTTCTTGTGCACGCCAATGAATATCAGCAATTTCGTCTGCCATCTGAACATAAACTTCCCGCGCTTTCGCAGAGCATGTTCACTGCTATTCACCTTTGTGGCCAAACTTTTGTTATTTTAGGGGCGAAGCTCCTTATGGCGTGGCTTGGGCGTCCTTCGTATGTAACCACCAGTGGCACATACCCGAAATAGGCATAACACTTGACATCCAAGGTGGTGCCAGTGAGAGATTTCTTTTGTGCGTTGTTTAACAATACAAAATAGTGCTCAATGTACATGCCAATTGCTGCTAATGGGGAATGAGAGACATGAGCATTCGGCTTTTAGTCAACGCGCACGCTGCGATCCCCATTAGTAGCCATTGGCATGTACATTGAGCACTATCGGACAAGAAAGAGATGCTACATTATACTCGCTGGGTGTAACCTCCTTAGCTTTAGAAAGGTTTAGCGAGCGTTGAGCCGCAGTGCCATGAATACAATGAACTTGTATATACCATGAATGAACTCAAGGTGGTTAAAAATGAGAAGTAGATACGAAGCGCAAGCCGTAAGAAAGTAAAAGTCGAATTTTCCTTTCTCTCATTTCTCATTAGCAGCCATTGGCATGTAAATTGAGCCCTATCTGACAGGGAAAGGTTGCTACGTTATACTCGCTGGGCGTAACCTCCTTGGTTTTCGAAAGGTTTAGCGAGCGTTTGGTCGCAGTGCCATGAATACAGTGAACTAGAATATACCATGAACTCGAGGTGGTTAAAGGTGGGAAGTAGACCCAAAGCGCGGGCCGTAAGAAAGTGTGCGTGTGCCACCTCTCGTTTAGTCCTTGGAATGTCCGCTGGATGGTGGTGCTTCTATATGGGGAATATATGATAAAAAGATGCGAGATGGTGGGACTTGGAGTGTTGAATAGATGAACGAACGGACACACAAACAGATGCATGGATGGACGCATGAACGGACGCAGGGGCGGATGCATGAAAGAATGCAGGGACGGGCGCACAAACAGACGCATGGACGGTCACACAGACGGACGCATGGACGGACGAATGCTTCGCCTCACTCTCCATTATTCACTCCGTGGATATGCTTCCATTTCTTTTTTCTTGTGCACCCGATGGAATATCAGGAATTTAGTGAACATAAACTTCCCACGCATTCGTAGAGCATGTTCACTGCTAATCACCTTTGGGGCCAAACTTTAGTTATTTTTTGTGTGCACGCGATGGAATATTATGAATTTTGTCTGCCATCTGAACATAAACTTTCCGCGCTTTCGCAGAGCATGTTCACTGCTATTCACCTTTGTGGCCAAATTTTTGTTATTTTTTCTTATGCACGTAATGGAATATTAGAAATTTTGTCTGCCGTCTGAACTTAAACTTCCAGCGCAGCCGCAGAGCACGTTCGCTGCTATTCACGTCAGTGCGCGTTCCGCGACTCATAAGATAGATATAAGATTTAATTGATATCTGGTGTTTAACGTCCCAAAACAACCATATGAATATGAGAGACGCCGTAGTGGAGGGCTCCGGAAATTTCGACCACATGGGGTTCTTTAGCGCGCACCCAAATCTGAGCACACAAGCCTACAATGTTTCCGCCTCCGTCGTAAATGCAGCCGCCACAGCCGGGATTTGAACGCGTGACCTGCGGGTCAGCAGCTGAGTACCTTAGCCACTAGACCACCGTGGCGGGGCAAGATAGAAGATTTAAGCTCATTTTTAGTGAATTCAGCTTTCTTTTTTGATGTTATTATGCTGACTGAAACATGGTATCACGAAGAAAGTGAAATGTTGAATCCTATTAACTATAGTTACTACTTCATCAATCGATGTACGCTCTGAGGTGGTGGAGTGGCATTTCACGTAAGAAAGCACATGCTCTGCGACATAATTCCAGGATTCACGCGTAATATAGCTGATTATGAAGTGCTTTGCATGAAGAGTAAAAACAACCTGTACGTGGCATGTTACCGCCCACCGTCTCGTCACCTCAGCACATTTTTGGAATTTTTTGAGAAAATTTTAGAATATTCAACGTTTAATCAGTATGACGTTTATTTAGGCGGTGATCTTAACATACACCTTATGAAGGATAACCTGACCTCCCGGGAGTTCATTAAGACAGTGTCCGCTGTGGTTATAATAGCGTCATTACTATGCCGACACGCGTGACAACGACTTGCCAGCCAGTCCTAGACTTGTTCATTGTCGGCGTAGACACCGATGTACGCGCAGCCGGCACGATATGGGCAGGGGTGAGTGACCATTGTCCTGTTTTTATTGCATTTCTCAGAACTGCTGCACAGAAAATGACTTGCAATGACAATATTAGGTACAGATGTATGTCTAACGAAAATATGAATTCATTCCGTAGGTTGATTCTGATGGGACATTGTTGTTCTGTTTATGTTCATATGGACCCAAATGAGAGCTATCGTGAATTTGCGTATATATTAAGGAATCACAACAATCCATGTTTTATATATATAACGCTAAGCCTAACAGAAAAATAAGCTTAGATATGGCGAGAACACCTCAAAACGATCAAGAAAAAACTCAACTGCTGAAGAAATTCTTGCGCACAAGAAACATTGCAGGCTTTTATGCCTTTAAAGCATGCAGGGATAAACTAACTGCGTCATTAAAAAAGGCAAAAACCTCTTACTATGACCGCAAACGGCGGTTAAGGATATCATAGCTGAAATCAAGAACAAGAAATGGACATGGGCCCCGGGAATGTAGCGCGTAGACAGGATAACCACTGGTCAATAAGGGTAACTAACTGGATTCCCAGAGAAGACAAGCGGGTTAGGGGGAGACCGAAGGTTAGGTGGGAGGATGAGATAAAGAAGCTTGCGGGTATAAATTGGCAGCAGCAAGCACAGGACCGGATTAGCTGGCGGAACATGGGAGAGGCCTTTGTGCTGCAGTTAACGTAGTCAGGCTGATGATGATTATGATTATGATGATGATGGCCACATGTTTTCTGAGATCTATCTACGGTACCCCAACCAGGTTTGGAAAGCAATCAATTAGGCCCTGAACCACAGTGCTGTTCAGAACACTTTAACAGAAATAACTGTAAACGGGTATAGTCTCTACGGTGTACCTTAGCCTAGCATTTCAGTCACCACTTTGCTAATGCGGTACAAACACTGGCCACCACTGCCCATATTCACACTCAGAATCCTTATCCCAATTCTGACACAATGTTTTTTGCACCCACAGATGAAGCAGAAATAGTAGGCACATTCTTATCTTTAAAAAAAAAATTTCGCGCAGCTTCTCTCGGGGGAACACTGAGGAGGATGCGGACCATATAATTGGTTAACGGGGTGTTAAAGTGCGACTTACTTGGGTCGATGGCTAAATTGGTTAACGCGGTTGTGAAATGGGGTGTTAAATTGCGACTTACTTGGGTCGGTGGCTAAATTGGTTAACGTGGTTGTAGGAGGGGGTGTTAAATGAGTGAACACGTACACACGTATGCGAAAGGGCGGCGCTGGTCGAAGGGACGTCGATCATTGTGTTTGTGGATTCGTTGGAATTCATTTCACCGCGACCTTGGACGTCGACGCGCCGTACAAACCAACCGACGAGCGGCAACTGAGCGAGCGAGCGCCGACCTTGAGTATATATACAGCACGACGGCGCATGCACTGTCAGCTGTTGAATGTTCTCGAAGCGCGACGCCACATGCGCGTCCACTGGAGAATCAGGAGAATTGTAGATGTCGAATGCGGTGTGTAGAGGAGGAAGGGTGCACAGATGGTGGAGGAGTGAAGCGCGCGCGGTGTGTAGAGGAGGAAGGGATGCACAGATGGTGGAAGAGTGGGCGACGGCGCGACGGCGCATGCGCGCGCGTCAGCTGTCGAATGTTCGAGAAGCGGTGTGGACGGCGCGGACGACGCGGACGGCGCACTACAAGGCGCGAGTATAAGATGCTCCGCATCTAAAAGCAATACTATTGATGTCGATGGATTTCAGGTTGAAGCGATTAAGCACGTATTTGACCTCCTTGCTCATTTTTTAGCTTACGTGTTCAATCAAGTTCTTCAGTATAGTTGCTGCCCACATCTCATAAAAATGTGAAAAGTATCCGACATAAATAAAATTGGAGATATTATTGATGCTAACAGTTACTGACCACTTTGAATTATACCTGTATATTCGAAGGCATTAGAGAAAATAATTTTCTGCTACCTGAGTAGTTTTCATAACAAGCACAACATACCTTCAAAACCTCAGCATGGTTTTCAGCGTGGAAAATCCGCACAGACGGCGTTGTTAACCCAAAAAAGATTGGTAATCAAAAACATCGAAGAAAAAAACAGGCTACGCTGGGTGTCTTCATCGACTACAGCAAGGCATTCCATGCTCTTAATCATCACATTATACTCGGCGAGTTAGACGCCTATGGGGTACGTGGTGTAGCTGCTTCCCTATGTTGTTTATATTTGGCCGAGAGGAAACAGTGTGTTTCAATCGCTAACTGCTTTTCTTCCAATAAAACCATTTCTTGCGGTGTGCCTCAAGGAAGCATCTTAGGGTCAGTGCCCTTCAATGCCTACATAAATGATATTGTCGACATAAACGACGATGCTGAATTTCTACTCTACACGGAAGACACCAGTATTTTTGTTTTGGGAAGAAATTCAGCTCAGATTATTGTTAACGACCAAAGCGTATTGATCAGATGTACAGCGGTGGTCCACTACTAATGACCTGCGAATAAATGCGAAAAAAAAGAAAGCTCTCTTTTAGATCCAGGGCCACGTAAACTAATCTTCACCAATCGTTAACGCTTGATGGAAAACCCCGTAGATGTAGTGGAGAAACAAAAAGTTTCAAGTGTAACTTTTTGCGCTCATATGGCATGGTCATGTCATGTGGAACCATTGACTAAATCATTATCGCGGGCTGCTGGAGTATTGTCACGAGGTCACTTTCTTCCGGAAAAAGCTAAAGTGCAAATCTACCATGCTTTGTTTTCCTCGCACATAAACTACCGCCTTCTTGTCTGAGGCACCACAACCTTAGAAACCGTAAAAATTATCCGCTTATTGCAAAAAAGGGCACTGCGCTACATTGCAAACGTCCCGCGCAGTACTTCCACTGGTACTTTTTTCCACCGCTACAAAATAATCAGCGTGCAACACATCTACAATTTTCGACTTATCGACAACTACTTCTTTGCGAAGAGACACTTCCGAACATTTCATAAAGACTTCGCAAACGTAAGTCTTAAGCACACAGATTCACAAACCCGAAGCATAGATAGGTGGCTCGTATCTCGTTTTCGCACGAATAATTTTCCACAGTCCCTTAGATATACATTACCATCCCTACTTAATAAATATATAAATAATGAGCCCAACCTTTTAATGTTTACAAGAAAAGAAATGCGAGAATATTTCTCACCCTGGCCTAGTATACCTTTCTTTTTATCATGCTATGTTATCATTACTCGATGTATCGCATTTTTTTTCAGTCTCTGTCATGTTTACTTTGATACTGTTCAGTGTAATCATGAGGGCAGATACATAGTTATTAGTTTGGTCTTTGTCTGTTTGTTCTAATGTTGTGTTTGTAATATATTCGTCTAATTTTTTGTTCTAATTGCCTACTTACATTAGAGCAAATTTTTTAAGAACTTTTATTTTGAAACTTCTGCCTTGTACGTGGGGACTCATGCACTCTCAAGTGGTTTTCCAACCGCCTTTTGCCTTAGGAACCCCCCTACTGGTTGTAAAAGACTTGTTTTGCAATAAAGACTGAACGAATGTTATTTACTTTTTATGACTCAAGGGAACCATTAGGCGCTTAAGAGAAAAAGAGAAAAAATGCAGAAGCAGTCTGTGAGCATGCAGCATTCACTGTCCCTGTATTCATGTCTTTACCAGTTTCAACGTGCCACAGCACTGGACCTAGCCGCTATTTTTTGACTTGCGCTGAGGACTTTCAAATGCTCTGTCAAATGCACTTTAGCACTTTCCTCGTTAGTTGCAATATTTTATTTGCATCCCTACCAAACGAATCTTTTTTTAGCTTAGTTGCGCATGTGGAAACGGCAACTTTGAAAACAATAGAAAAGCCCATGGGTTGGGTAATTGGTCGCTTATAAAAACAGAATGACGGCAAAAATGTTCAGAAAAAGATTTGAGGGACGCTTGAGCTTCACCTATATCTGAATAACAAGATGCCCCCAACGCATTGCTTTTAATCATCCATATGTAAACAATTATTTGTGCGCGTGACACTGCCTGATTTAGATTATTGTAGAATGTCTGGTGCAAGTACCACTGCAAAGTACCACCATGACTTTATTTTTTCTTTTGAAAGCTGCTGAAGTACCCAATACGCCTCAGTAATGGGGAACGCGCACCTGCGCATCTGTACACTTTCGAAACGATGGGCAGCTTTAAACCACTCATGGTTTTTCCAATACACGTATTTTGACGCCTTCTTTGAGTCTGTGGCTGTAACACTTAATAATTTATGTATTACAGACCCTCCCACCCCTGCGAGATAGTGCAGCACTATCTTTGTTTTCCTATGGTGCGACTTCAGCAGTGGTGTAATAAACCTTGCAATGAAGATGGCGCGGGTTCAATCTTAATCCCAAAGCGACGCATATTAATCCCAAAGCGACGCAATATTTTCTCACTTGCTTTTCTCGGCAATTTGCACTCGCAACCATTGAAGTCAAGGCTGATTCCAAAGCTTTGTCTAAACAAGCTGTATTACGGCATTTAATTATTAAACTCTCAGAATATAAAAGTTGTACATAGAATAATGCTATGCCAAGAGTGATTTTATTTTTCCTTAGCGCACCTTTAGGTTCACAAGCGTAATATTATAGTCTGAGAAATTTATGAAGCTCGGGGAATGAAATCGTATCATGAAAAAACAAGCCATCTTTTGGCGTTCTGTTCTTGAGTAAAGCGCTAATTTTAACTATATTGATTCATTTCTCAGGCCGAGTTCATTGTTAGCTTACGGCGAAACTAGAACACCGTGTTAAGCCTCTGCACACTTATTGGTTTTCTGGTTATACTACGGAAATAAACGAAAAAAATAGCACAAGCGAGTTCAATACATACTAAATATAGTTAGACAATATGAATGAAACTTTTATTTATCAGCCTACTCACCTGTGAAGAAGGAATTGGATTCATTCCTGCTTTCTTGTATCTTTTTCACGTACCCTAGAATGAAGTCATTCTCTTTTTCTCCAGACTTTGTCATCTTGTAGGCCTCAATTTGCTCCCTAAACGTGACGAATATAAGCACTGATTGACAAGTGGGGTTTGACGCCCCAAAACCACCATAAGATTAAACAATTATAAACACGTTGCTATGTAGGCTTGTATGTCCTAAGTCTGCTCATATGCAGGGAAACTGATAAGCTTTAATATTTTTTCACGGGTAGCTTTTTCTCACTCACTGGACTGCTTTGCTAATACTATACCTAATTCAAATGTTGCGTCGAAAAAACGCCAGGCCAGCGTGGAATGCACAGCACAGTCAGGGCGAAAGCTGGAAGAGTGGCCTTTGAAAGCCTTTTTTGAACACTCTTTGCAACTGCTGTAAGCGCACTTGCAGGATGCCCACTGCGCTATATATAATCATGGCTTTTCTGTAGTACGGAGTCATTCAATGGAGTATACTTGATTCTTTTATTATTTGGTTCATACCCACTAATGGGGGATTCTATGTCATTAGCAAGAGCTTAACGTGGGCGAGCTGGTTCATCGTGGTTGTGTAGTAGTACCAACAATACAGTGGTAGGAAAAGACAAAACAGATCAGGAAAAGCTCTGACTGTGCACTGAGTTTTATTGAAGGTTCTATGACTGCTTTGATGCTTCTATTGTTAGGAATGCCTATGAATAGCCACATGCCTGTACACCATAGGTTGGCGAACTCACTCATCAGTCGACTTACTCGGACTCACTGAGACTCAGATCGGGCTGTGAGTTTGTGTGAGTATTGTTTTAGGTGCATTTGAGTCTGGGTAAGTCCGGTTGAAGAAACTTTTCGTAAGTGTGAGTTCGAATAAGTGTAGCTCAGGAAAAAATTTTGTGACTCTGAATGTGAGCGAGTCCGAAAACGCAAGATATATTTATTGAATGAGTCTGAGCGAGTTCCAATTTTTTTGCCAACCTATGCTGTACACTGCCAAGAACTTAAGTACAGTCTTCTGTTCTCTCAAACACGGTATAAAAAAAAAAGCCAGGTCGGCGCAGGAAGGCACAGCACAGTCAGAGTGAAAGCTAGAAGAGCGGCCTTTCAGATCCCTTTCAAAACACTAATTGGGTAACTACTTCAAGCACACTTACTCCATACCACTACAGCAATAATAGTTAGCTTTTGGGTAGTAAGCCGGCCTTCACTATGCTATATTTAGTCATTCTTATGAGAAGCTTGGTTTGCGCTAAACACGTGCAAAGAATTTCGTGCCAATTGTTCATGCAGTGGCTGACTAAGGTGAGGCATGATGGCTGAGTTGGGTATACGCCAGAGAGTATGCGCCATAGGAGAACAAGAACAAGCTTTTGTAACAGGTTCAGCATTGGGCAACCCTTTAATTCTGCTATTCGCATTGTGCGACAAGTGGTTGCTCTTTCGCTATTTTAAAATTCTTTATAAGTCGTAGTAACGCAATTCCTTTCCCGATATCAAGGCTGCCTAAGGCAAGTTTGCCAATAAATCTCAAGCACCACCGTAGCTCAGTGGTAGAATACTGGGCTGGCACCCAGTGGACCCGTGTTCAAGCCCAAATGTGTCTTTAGAGCAAGGATTATCAACAAATTCGAAGCACCGGCGTAACTCAGTGGCAGATACTGGACTGGCACCCAGCAGACCCGGGTGTTAAGCCCCACTGTGTCTTTGTTGCTAGGTTTTCTTTTCTGAAATTACGGACATTGACGGTGGCTGCAAACAACTGCGCATGATCCGAGTTATGATCTCATGACAGCTTTCGCTGTAAAAAAGCAACTATGAAAAATGAAAGAGATAGTATAAAAACATTTCTTTAAAAAGAACGCCATCAATCAATGAAACAATACACCGTCACATCTCTTTTGCATTAGAGAGTGAATTCTTTTGTGAGATAAGAATAATTTTCATGGTCACATGTTTCTCAGCGCATAAGCAGTGTTGGTTGCACTCTGTATAAAAGTAGTCATAGCACCTTCAATAAAATTCACTTTAGCGTCAGCGTTCTTTTCAGCCGATTGTCTCTCTTCCTACCGTTGTCGCGCTTAAAGTACAGTACAACCTCTACGATAATCTTCGTCATTTTTTGAAGAATCCTGGTAGCTATTACACACTTCCAAGAAATTTTGTGCAATGTTTTTATGCTGTAGTTTTCATGCGGCCTGAATTCACTCAGGCAACCGGAAGGATACGCTGCTAGCGGTACCACCAGGTATATCCAATTTTTTGTCCGCCTTCTTCATTTCGCTAATTTGTTTTATATATTTTGGTTTATTGAATTTTTCTGCTCGTTCCACCTTCTTTATTTGTTAAAGGAACTTTAGTATTACTATTATTTACTGTCTCTCTTTTTTAGCAAACTTTGTGTAAAAAATTTTTATTATAGAGTACAGTGTGGCCAATCCCCTTTAAAGGTATGAGCCAAGATTTTCTAGGTGACAAGACAAGACATATGAGCATTTTACTACCTATTCGGAACGCGGTTGTGTTTGTTCGACGCCTGATTGTTCTTCGGCTGTTCTAAAACGCTTGATCACTTATATTATCACACCGATATCAAGCCTGCCTAGCGTAGTTTCGCAAATGAATTTCAAGCACAGGTGTTTGGCCTCGCTCCTTTGTTTGTATAACACGATGTGGAGAACTCTCGATGTGAAGAGCTCCCCAAGTGTTAGCAATTCAAGGTTTCTCAGTAACGCTTGAGCGCTAATTGTCGCCGTGTGATTGTTCTTTCTCGCTTCGTTTTTGAATTTGTTACGTAAACATTTTATCACAATACCATGAAAGATTCCCCTTTTCCCCTTCCGGACACTTCTGAGTGTGTGCCTGGCTTCTGCAGAAGTATGTGTTGCATAGTTAACAATTACTGGTGATGATTTCATTCACGAAAAAACAGGCGTGGCTCAGTGGTAAAACACTGGGCTCGCACGCAGCGGACTTGGTTTTCAATCTCATCGTGACCTTAGTATTTTTACAGCGAAAGCTATCATGAGATCAAAGCTCGGATCACGAGGAGTCCGCCGCTGCCGCCGCCGTTGGTGTCCGTAAACACATCGTGCGAAATTGGAAAAAAAATAGCGCCAATTACACAGCAGGGCTCGAACCCGGGTCCACTCGTATACTAGTATTCTGCCTCTGAGCTACACCAGTTTTCTTTTCTTTCATGGTATTTATTAAAAATGCGGCTTACGTATATACATAGCGTACAACATACATAGGGTCAAGTCGACAATTGTACAATGGACGTTACAAAGTAAAGCTTATGCAACACAATGTCTGAACAGATATCGTTACTTGTTCGCAGAATTTCCTTAAGTAGACTTGTAGTGTGGAAAGAAAACGCGGTATTCCGACTTATAAAGTGTTTTAAAACAGCTAAACTACAATCAGTCGTTGCACAATCTAGAATAGCGCAAAGAGTGGACCATCCATTGCACCTATCCCTTACAAAAGCTTGTTTACGATGCTGATGCTGATGAACTCAGATGGATGGCGCTTACTCATAGAGAAAGAAGGGCCAAGACCCGAGTGGTAGATTGCTTAAATGAAACTAAAATACAATTGAAACCTATGTGAAAAAATGTTTTACCGATAATACTACGAATAAACAAAAAAACGTTTGCTGAGCAAGCGGTCAAACCATCTCTTGTTTTTGACAGACATTGCTACGAATTATAAAATAAAATTCTGAAAAAGGTTAAGGTTGACTACCATGATAATCTTTTAGTTGCATTGATGTAATCAAACACAGTGGAGCATATATCCCTTTGGCAGTAACCAAATGAAGTTCTGCTAAGTGATAAAGTACTGGTAGATTTACTTGTATTCTTAGCTTTTGTGATGGGGGTACTAAAAGTCCTTTGTCTCTGATAGAACTAACGACAACACAATAAATATAACTGTCAATTGTTTCAATTTCATTGCAAAAATTTAAAATGGTGACACCTTTAGTCGAGGTAAAACATTAGTTGTGAAACTGTGCAGTGAAATCTGGTATAAGTGACCTCTAACTGGCATTTCCTGTTTATTCCAACACTACCCTAAATGCTCGAATTCTTAAAATTTATTCAAATTTCCTTTCTTCTATTAGCAAACAAGCATTTCGGAACCTTAGCGCTGTCACGTAGCTGCATCAGTAAAAACTGGGATGGTGCGCCCACTCATGAATACTGCTGCTAAACAGTCCGCCATTTTCGTTCAAATATAATCCGTGGTGGTCTGGTAGCCTATAGCAAATGCAGTTTTTTTATGTTTTTCGGTACTAAGTGCGGAAAGCGTATTCATCAGCTCTGCATTTGCTGCTGCAGAAAGTGCATTACATACTGATAACGAATATGTATTGATAACTGCTGATGATTCGCTTGAGGGCAATTTGCGTTGGGCAAGAACAGTAGCCAATAATTCTGCAATAAATACAGGGGTATAATCTGGGAGTCGAATCGGAAAGGACCAGTCAAAAGAAGAAGAGGAGATGCTAAACCCAGTTTTTCCTTTCAACACAGATTCATCACTCGCAATGATATTGCTTATCTCTAGGTGAGCTAGAAAATCGACTAACTGGTCATTCAAGTACCTATGTGCCAATTTTTTCGCGTTATGAGGAAATATATCATCAAATTGTATGCTAGGTATTGACTTTAGGTTCTGTAATGGACCAATATGTTTAATTTCTACATTCAGTTGCTGTAGCATATCGTTTGTGCAAATATTATATGGGGGTGTGTAGTCGCGACCAATGTGTCTCGAAAAATAAAGTTGTTTCTTGAATGAAAACGTAAAATGAGTGCCTTTGGTGTGAACTGTATATCTTTAGGAATGCTTGCACAGTAAGAATTTTAAACCTATTTAGCAGATAAGGTAGGCGAGCTTCCGTATACAATACGTTGTTTGCAACAAACATTGGGAGACCCAGACACAAACGCAATGCTTCTCTTTCCAGCAGTATCAGAGGTGTCATTTATAAGCTGCACTGCCAGAAAATAATACACATTCAAATACCATGATGAGCCACACATAAAGTTTATATATAATTTTAGCGCACCTTTTCTTAAACCACCTCTACGGTTTGCGAGCTACCGTGGCCAACCCAAGGTCCGTGTTGCCTTGGAGTACACATCATCAATGTGGCTTCTCCAATTCAATGTCTCATTATATATGATGCCCAAATATTTAGGGGAAATTTGCCCGCGGAATGAGCTCCTTACTATATAATAATGAGATGTTGATAGGCTGCAGAAAAGAGAGTGCAACAAGCGCACTTTTCTTTACGTTCAGCGTCATATCAATGTTTTTGAGCCATCTTTCTGTCAAATTGAGATAATTTTGTAAACTCTGGTATAGGAAGATCGGTATTACTTGCGAAGACAGAAATATTTTCCGCGTACACACATACCTGAATATGCTGAGTTGATGGAATGGAGCTTAAGAAGATGTTAAATAAAACTGGCGACAGGACAGCCCCCTGTGGTATGCCACGTGTCTGCTTATATTTATTCGATCAGGTACCCACCTTTAAAGCAGTAATATTTCTCTCCTCATAAAAACTCCGACACCCATGCAGTGACGTAGTTGGGAAAGTGGTGATATTCCTGTCTGCTTTATTAAAATCGAATGCTCAACCCTATCGTACTCTTCAGCCAAACCTAGAGTAGCTGAATGCATCAGTATTGGCGCCGACGCCAAGCCAGTTGTATTCGGCTCTCTAAATCATTATGTGCGCACCATATTGAACAACAAGATTTAAAACCAGTTTGACTGGAATTAGGATTGCGTTATTATCAATGTATATTATTATCCGGGCATTCAGAACTCCTGCAATTAGCTTAACCAAATTAGACGTGAGTGATATCGGTCTTACATTGTCTAAGGCAAATCCTGTTTTCTGCTTTTTAAGAAGCGGGATAAATTTATACATATTCCATTCGCATGTATCCAGGCTTTGTCAAAAAAAATTTATAAGATTAAGTACCTCATTTAAAGAAATCTCGACTATTACTTTTATAATTGCATTTGTTTCCCCGCCTGGTACAGGTGCTGAAGCAGATAAGTGCCTTACTATCTCTGCCAGCTCATCTAAAGTAACCTCCTCGAAATCCTCGCCCGTCAATCGGTTCACGATGTACAGTGGTATCGCTGACAAAAATCTATCTTGGAGCCCTTTCGCAACATTTTCTATTACATTAGAGAGTTCATGGAGGGAAAGAACCGAAGAGTCAATATTTTCAGCGGGTGGTAACATTTTTTGCGATCTTAAAAATCTGAAGAGCGCTATTTTTGTTTTCAGACCTAGAAAGATAATCATATCGTTTCATATTATGGCCATGTTTTGCTGCATTTACTGTGCGTTTGAAGTCTGCTGCTGTGAATTTATAATTACACCAATTTAGGGGACATTGGAACACCGGCAGTTGTTTCCATGCAACTTTACGTTTCCTATAGCTCCTCATGCACTCTTCACTCCAACATAGACTCAAAGAACATCTTGTAGCCGAGTTTAATTTAGAAGTTGCGTCTTTTACTGATCTTTATAACACTGCACACATACGCATAGCCCTTATGTCACCTTGCATGTCCTCGCGGCGATCAAAAGTAGCTCTCATGATTTTTTCTAATTTTCTATAGTTGAGGAATGAGCCGACCTTTTCGGTGACAAGTTTTCCCGTATTAACTGTGGTGCCAAGTAATTTCGGCGCCAAATAAGTTCCCGTAATAAGTGTGGCGCATACCCACTTCATCTGTTTTCCTGATCGTCGTCAGCCACTGCATGAGCCATCGGCACAAAATTTTTGTGAATGTTTAGCGGATACCACGCTTCTCAGAAAAATGACAGATTATAGCATAGAGAATGCTGACCTACTAACAAAAAATTATTATTAATGCCCGAGTTGGTATCAAGCAAGTGTACTTGCATCATGTACCCAATAAGTGTTTCGGAAAGGATCTCAAAGGCCACTCTTTAAGATATCGTTGTGACTGTGCGGCGCCTTCCGCGCAGGCCTCACGTTTTTATTCTCCACTCTTTCCTATTTTTGCGTGATAGTGTTTGCGGACACTAGCGGTGGTGGCAATCCTTGTTGTGATCTCATGACAGCGGTCGCTGCAGTATTCTGACAGCAGCAGCTCCGGTATTTGAAACTGTTCTGCTGTTTCAGGGCCATCCTACAGCTCATCCGATACAAAGTGCACCACTTGTTTCAAAATAAACATTTCGCTCACTTGCAGCACAAAAGGTAGCTCAAACAAAGCTGAGATCGTTCTTGTGTAGCAGTCAGAGTTATTGTATATGAATAATGCGATAACTGCGGCTCGACTACTGCTAAATTTGAAGAAGTACACAGCTCGGGCACCAACGAGTACAGTTGCAGAGTTCCCACATCTGTGTTTATTGATCTCACGATGACCTAAATGTTTCAGGCGATCGCGCAGAATTTCCCAAGCGACAGTAAAATCTTGTATGATAGACGCCGCCCTAGAGAAAAAGACGTAAGAGACAGGAAGTGCGCCGGACGAGTGCTGTCTCGAAACTGAGAGATTTATTCAGAAAATAGGAAAGAGGAAAGCAATACTTTTGAGGGTCCCACTGCAGTCGCTTGAATTTGGGACCCTCGTCTGCATACTACATTCTACGAATATTGTATTTTGAATGAATGAATAAACTGAAAACTGAATACTGGTCATAGCGGACATGCGCATAAGTACGGCAGTAAAGCAAATTAATTAACAACAACACGCTCGCGTCCTTCAGAATATTCAAACACGTTACGTGATACTTCGTGATCCAAGCAGATAAGCAAACTCATTAGGGAGTTTAAGAATGTCACCCCGCGAGCCCTTTCGGTGCGGTCGCTGCCACTGCGCATGCGTCGTACGCGAGCTGCTATTCGCGTTCGCGGCTCGCCCGTCGAAAATTCGAAATAACTGGCCACGTGTGCAGCCAGCAAACTCTGGTGTCGAAGCTATGTGTAGTTTCTATGCATTTGAGTTTGCGGGCCAGCTAAAGTCCCTAGATTGTTCCCTAAGAGGAACAAACGTTTTTCTAAAGCTCATATGGGGCCCGTTATGCCCGCGACGCCCGCAGCACCTTAAACCTTATTCTAAAACTCCCTATAGTCTGTCAAAAAAATCGACGCAAGGCTCACGCACATGCGTGTGTAAGTCAGCGCCGTTAGCAGCCATGACAGTGAGCGCACGCCATTGTGGCAATATTGTGCGTTGGTTCCTATTATTATTTTCTGTAACAATGAAAAACAAGCGTTTCAAATTTCACCTTCTTCATTTATATTTCTTCTTGATATATGTGCAAGTGAGAGAAAGTTTATAAGAAAGACACCTTCGTGAATATTGTTAATATATTCATAGAGATAAATTATATATGTATCAAGTCGCAAGATCTTGTAAAGTGATATGCGTTCGGAAGTCCCATCAGAATTTCTTAAACATTGTGTCACACGATAACACTGAACCATACTTGCATAATAAACATTAAATACACCTACTTCGATAAGGCATCCAGTTTCGCCATCACTTCTGCGATACGATATTCTTGGGTGAAAGGAACCCAGGCGAGCACCTGCCGTAGAATCTTTGGCAGGAAGTGGTGGCCCGACCCGGCGAACAGCACGAGCGCCGCTTGGTTCATCAAGCCGTGGAGCTTTGAGCGCATCGGGTGGTCGTGGGTGAACAGGTCACCGTAGAAGAAAGATACGATGTTGTTGAATGCGCATGGCACCACGAACTCGTTTAGGTCGAGCGGCTTGCCATGTGCTTCGCCAATCTTGTCAGCCACGCGTCGGAATTCTTCCTGTCATGCACAAAGGAAGCAAATCGCTTGGTAAAGAACCGAAAACAAAAAAAAAATAAATCTTCAATTACACTCAAAAGACTCACAACCATAGGTCATGAAAAAAAAGTGCGGAGGCCAATGAGACTCATTCCTGAATTATGAGTTTGATATATATATAGGGCTTAAAAATGGATGTGTTTAAAAATTTACCTTCGGCTGGATCGCTCGGGCGGAGATGCAATAGAGGTTCCTAAACCGGACAGACTCAGAGTAAAAATTGAAAAAATACAGGAGATCCATGGAAAGAATGATGGTGAGGGGAGGGAAGCGTCTGGCAATCCGGCCATGCGTCCGTCCCTCAATACGTGGGTCCGTCTGTGCGTGCGTCCGTGCGTCCGTTTTTCTGTTCGTTCGTCTGTGTGTCTGCCTGTCGGTCCGTTTGTCCATCGGATTGTCCGTCAGTCCATCCGTGCGGCCGTCCGTCCATCTAGTGAACACTTTAGGTACCGCCATCTCGCTTGCTGTTATCATACAATCGGATGGATGGATGGATGGATGGATATGGCTGTACCCTTTAGATCGGGCGGTGGCTAGCGCCACCGAGCCGTAATACTTATTGAACCCAAAACTATATTTTTTTTCCTTAAAAAGTGAGTTTGAGGATTCATACTTTGCAGTGAAGAGTCTAATTTTCACTCGTGCCTTGACTTTAGCCACCAATCAGAGAACCTCCTTCTAGTTAAGTCTACCTGCTTAAAGTCTATTTTGCCCTCCCGGTTCCTAAATCCCAGTGCTTTGAAAAACTCTGCGCCATCATCCTGAACTATAGGGTGAAGCCCTTTACAGAACATTATCAAGTGTTTGGCAGTTTCTTCTTCCTCTCCACATGCACTGCATACTGTGTCTACCCATTCGTATTTGGCCCGATATGTCTTGGTTCGCAGTACTCCCGTCCTTGCCTCAAACAGTAGAGAACTACCCCGAGTATTATCATAGATCCTTTCCTTGGCAATTTCCTGCTTAAAAGTTCGATAGATCTCTAGTGCGGACTTCTTAATCATGCCCATTTTCCACATGTCAGTCTCCGTTTACTTTACTTTCTTCTTAACCGATAGTTCTTTTTGGTTAGGCCACCTGCTGTTTTCTAAGTATTTACCAGTCGACTTCCTGGTTCGCTTCCTCCATTTTGTATCGACATTCTTTATGTACAAGTAGCTGAAAACCTTCCTAGCCCAATGCTTTTCCTTCATTTCTCTCAATTGCTTCTCAAATTTTATCTTGCTGCTAGCTTCCCTGCCCTCAAATGATGTCCATCCCATATCACCTTGTACTCCTTGATTTGGTGTATTCCCGTGAGCTCCTAAAGCAAACCTACCTATTCCACGTTGCTTAATTTCTAATCTTGCTTGAACTTCTGATCTCATGCACAAGACCGCATTGCCGAACGTCAGCCCAGGAACCATGACCCCTTTCCATATTCCTCTCACAACATCATACCTATTGTAATTCCACAGTGCCCTATTTTTCATCACTGCTGCATTCCTGTTACCTTTAGTTGTCACGTATATATCGTGCTCCCTCAGGTACTCGGTTCCATTGCTTATCCATACGCCCAGATATTTGTATTTATCTGTTATCTCTAGCGTGACTTCCTGTATCCTAAGCTCACTACCTTCTTTGTCATTGAAAATCATGACTGCTGATTTTTCCTTACTGAATCTAAACTCTAACCTATCTCCCTTCTTACCGCAGATGTCCATCATTCTCTGCAAATCCTCCTTGTTGTGGCCATTAGCCCTATATCATCTGCGTACATTAATGCTGGTAGTGCCTGATCAATAAGTTTTCCTTGTTTCACTAAAGAGAGGTTGAAGCCCAGCCCACTTTCCTCTAATTTTGCCTCTAATCCTTGTAGGTACATCATGAATAATAAGGGTGACAGGGGGCACCCCTGCCTAAGCCCTCGTTGTACCTCTGCAGGCTTGGATACCTGTTTTTCCCACTTTATAACTACCTTGTTACCTTTATAAATACCCTTTAAAAGATTAGTGACTACATGTTCCACGCCCAGTGTGTCCAGTATTCCCCACAATTCCTCTTGAACCACGCTATCGTACGCTCCCTTGATATCCAAGAATGCTAGCCACAGGGGCCTGTGTTCCTTTTCTGCTATTTCGATGCACTGCGTCAGTGATAACAGATTGTCTTCCAACCTCCTGTGTTTCCGAAACCCATTCTGCAGTTCCCCCAGCACCCCCTCACCTTCTATCCATGCCTGCAGTCTTTCCTTTATAATCTGAATCGCCAGCCTGTAGACCACTGATGTCACTGTTATAGGACGGTAGTTGTTTATGTCAGCTTTGTCCCCTTTTCCTTTATAGATCATGCTCATCCTCCTAAGTTTCCATCCATCGGGAACTTCACCATCGAATATTATTTTGCTCACTGCCTCTCTCAAAGCCTGCTTAGACTTCGGACCTAATGTTTTCATCAGCCTAATTGGAATGCCAATCGTCATATACAAGTACCGCCATCCAGCGTAAAATCCAAAGACTAAACGAGAGCATGTAGTACCACATTTCCGCTGTCGTTGCTTTGTTAACAACGAGACCGATATAACGACACCATGCTACGTTTTTTTAATAATATCCGGGCATGCGGATATGCGCCCGAGGGCGGGTATGACCCACTGGTATGCGGGTATGTGCCACATGTTATGCACTACGACAACGAGGGACGCACAAGCAACACTTTAAAAAGCTTCCCCCTTAAGAAAATATGTTTCACTCATGCCCTCTTCCCCCAACACCTCGCCCCGGTAAAAACTACTGAATTCAAATAAAGTTGATTCATTCATCGATTCATTCATTGACGCAAACTTGCTCAAGCAGCTAAAGCAATACAAAACACACTGTTAGTTCATTTAGACAAATCCATATGCTTTATAGCACATTGTTTTCATCTTTCAGAAAGAAGTTTGGCACATTATCTCCCAACCATGACCAAGATTTTATGACGTGTAATTTAGCAGTGTTGTCCAAAAGTTCACATATTAATCTCATCGTAGGTGAACTGCTGTGCCAGCTCATGCACATTTATTGAATGAAATTTTTCGCAATGTAAAAAAAGGCCAGTTTATTTGCATTGCCAAATGCAGCGCTCTCTCTCACGTTTGCGACTCGTTCGCAGCCAGCGTGAGTGCTGGCCCTTTGTGACTCGAAGTACCGATAATCACTGTTAGTCGGTGACATACCACCATTACTTCGCCCACAGGCCTTTTGCCTAGTGCGAACCATGCGTTGGTCTTGCCTGCACGTAGACACGGGTCTTAACACAGTCGGACAAGCTTTCCTCACACCAGGCTATCGCATGTCACCGCACTTCTCTGTGTACCGCCTGTGATAGCCCAGCTCGCATGAGCTTGCTTCCGTCTGGTGCGGCCTTGCCGCGGCAGATGCACACAGGCCTGCCCGAGAGGTAGTCGTGCTGCTCTATGACGTGGTTTCTCGCACGTGCGTTCAATTTCTGCTTTTTCTGTGAAATTGTACGTTTAGAGTACGTTTAGGCGATGATCTGAGATGATCAGTTCCCCTCTCCACTGCCTGAAATAGCCAGACGTTTTTCATGATAGTGTGCTTTCCCTGTTCTTATGGGACTTCTGTGTGACCAAAGGCGCCCATGGACACGTTTGGACACGAGCAACTATCTCGCCTTTCAGTGTGGTGCCCAGCTGAACGTACAGCCGTCATCACTTTAACTCGAATGCTCCCGACGCGTGGTCTCGGCTCCTTTGAACTGAGGTCATCACCGTGAAGCGTTGCAAATTATATTATTGCTCAAGTTAACGATAGATGAAGCGTGCATGTGTTTCACTAGTAAATTATGTTTCCAGTATGCCTGACCAGCTGGTAGAATGCATTCACTGGGCATATCAATTTCGCAACGTTTAGCTCGTGGCAACTGCATTGCACTCATCCATGACATTCGTTGTTTTATGCTTATTTCGACAAAAATAGAGAGCTTTAGTACTGCGTACGCTGCGTACGTGGCGGCGTTGCGTACGTAAGGACGCCACGTTCGGCGTAGTGCGCATGCGCAGACAGCAACGCGCATGTATCGCGTTACGTACGCAGTCGCTACGTACGCATGCATGAGATGCGTGCGTGCGTACGTATGAGCTGATTGCGCCGCTCTCGAACAAGTTCGCGACAGCGCGAGACTTCGTTTTGCAAAATGCCGGCATCCAGGGCAAGCACCGACCGGCTCTGTGGCTTAAAATATGGTCATAATCTGGCTATAACACTTGGATTTGCTCACATTGGCTGCCAACAACATGTGCTTATATTTTTATCTACCAGATGGCGCAACACGCTTCACGCTCGTTACGTACGCGGGTACTACGGCGTACTAAACGCCGATTAGTGGCAAACGACGCCACGTAACGCAAGGCGCTTGCGTGATGCGTACGTAGCACCATTCTGCACTTCTAAAACTCTCTATTGAACGATTGTGTGCGACAGCTTGCGCAACTATTGAGTTTGGATTCCTAAATGCTGCTAAAAAACCCACAAGTATTAGGATTGACCATGTATGTGCATGTTCTGCAATTGTCGTCGAAAAAGGATAGTCTTACGTGTGAAGAGAGTGAAGAAAACATTTATTTGTTGTTCTGCGCAAGAAAATCGGTGAATAGTATTCCAAAAGTGCTGCGTTAGAGTGCCTTGAGCATGCAGTGGAGGCGAACGAGCGTACAACTCACGTCACACGTCAGACTTGAGCGCCATCTGGCAAATTTTTTTTTGGAAAACAAAGCGCGTGGCACTAAGACGGGCGTGCGCGCCCGCCTCATAGGTGATAAGGTATAGAACGCAAGGGGACGGGTAGGTGCCACCAACGTGTCGTCTTGGCAAAGTATTGGAAACACTCGCTTCTTTGTGCAAGCGTTGCATGGTCAGCGCAGCGTGATAAGCGCAACGGTCCTTATAAATTTTTATTTATGCATATTCCAGTAAAAGACG